CCCGCCAATGCAACTACCCATTACCCATGCCTTCTTCAACCTAAGGTTGCAGTTCTACTTCCTGGATCTTCAGGGTGGTCTCACCAACCACATTTTCTTTGGGCCTGGTTGCCCCAACCAAAGGTCACCTATTGATGCCACTACTGCCCACCATTATCTGTTGGGCCTTGACCATGCCCAATCTGTCATTTGTCAAAAACTGAATCCTGTGGGAGTGCTTCATGAACCTTGTTCACTACCTCATCACAGGAAAGAAGTTTGACTTCAAAGGCTCCAAGAACAGTACACACTTTCCACTTCAGTTCTGAAAGTAACCCTTGGCTTACACTACTGCTCAGAAATTCTTTGCCTTGTGCAAGCAGCATCATGAGTGGGAGTGGCTATGTGATTATCAGAAGCAAATGGAAGAATATGATAACCAGTACTGCACACCATAGCAATTCCTTTCTTTGTGCTCTTGCATTACCAGCTGGTGAGACACTGAGGCAGCTGAACCTCAATGATTTGATGGTCCCCCAAAATATGGTGAGAAACCTTTGGGCCAATCGCCTTGCCCTACTGGATGGAAACCTGCTCCCTCATGTGTTCAGATCCCCTACTGTTCTGACCATCATGTGTGTGGATATCATCTTTTATACAAGAGTAAGAAAGCCTCACTTTCTTGCTTAAGGAGAAGAGGAAAGACCAAGCAAGAGTAAAGACCAAGCATGAACAAGAGACCCCTGTGCTGAATGAGAAGACCAAGCCTGGTGGTGTGCCACTTCCCCTATCTCCCCTCCACCTACTCACACTGACAATCCATGGTTCAGATGTAAAGACTAATAGGACACAACAGGAAATTGAAACCAAGGCACAACTCCTAGCGCTTCAAACATGGCCCTCTTAGCTAGTTACAGCTATCCGGTTATCAGTTGTTGTTGTTGTTTTTTTGATTAAAAAGCATCTCTCTCATTTTTTTTTTTGCCAACTGTTTTGCATTTTCACCTTTTAAAGAAATAGATTGCGCCAATAGCGGTGTAGAAGGATGGTTCGTCCTTGCATGGTTCTCTTGACGAGATCTCCCCTTGCCCACCGTCTTCTCCACACTCCCTTACTACAACTGAGCAGTGAGGTTCTTGTAGAAGTCGAGGTGGTCGTGGACGAAGCCGGCCCAGTCCTTGATCTGCGGGTGGACGCGGTGCGACCAGGCCACGTCGCGCAGGCCCGTCGGGTTGTCAGCGAACCACTTGAGGTTGAGGTAGAGCTCCTCTGCGCCCGGGAAGCTGCGCTGGAAGGCCTCGTGGTCGACCTCCTCCGCGCGCGTCGCCAAGCCGGTCACCCGCTCGAACGTGACAGCTATCTGGCGCGCGGTGAGGCTCTCGCTGGCGACCCGCATCTGCTTGCCCAGGTACTGGTCGGGGTAGTTGAGGGCCTCGACCACGAACGCGCCCGAGTCGGCCACGGAGAAGAGCGGCAGGCGAGCCTGGTCAGGGTCCATCGGCATGCTCAGCACGAAGGTGCCGTCTGCCTGGCGGCGCGGGGCCATGGGGAAGCCGAGGTGGTTCTCGTAGTAGGCAGGGAAGTAGATGGCCGTGTAGGGCACCCCGAGGTGCTGGATGTATGACTCGACCATGGCCTTCGACACGAAGTGCGGCACGTAGCTGAACTCGAGCGAGCTGCACAAGGACATACAAAAAAACAACAACAGTTTAGCAGCAGAGGCGGGCAAAAAGATGTAGACTGTATACCTCCAGACGAGGTGCTTGACGTTGGTTGCCTTGGCGGCGTGAGCGATGTGGACGCCATGGTGGAACTCCTTCATCAGGTCGGCCCCCTCCCAGTAGTTCGTCACGCCAAACACGCCGTAGGCGCCCTCGAAGGCGCGCTTGAGCGAGGCCTCGTCATCGAGCTGCGCCTCGACTAGCTCCACCCGGCTCTCGCCGCTGCCGCCCCGCAGCTGCTTGTCGAGGTCGATCAGGTCTAGCGCGGCCTTCTTCGAGGCGTCCCTGGTCACTGCGCGGACGTGGTACCCACCCTGGGTCAGGAGCGCCCTCACCACGCTGCCTCCCTGTTTGCCCGTCGCGCCCAGAACTGTGATGATCTTGTTGCTCATTGTTGATGTGTGTTGGGTCTAGATAAGTTGTTGGCTTGATGTGCTGGGTGGTTTGTTTGCAGGAACAGATGAGCACAAACTATTTATTGATGGCCCAGCGAGTGGGCATTTGCTTCCTTTTTTGGACGTAACTCACCGCTGAAGATGGGAAGGTGTGGAGAAGGTGTGGTGAAGGTGGGAATCGAGCGAGCCTTGCATTTTGCGGCCAATCACCACTTTCCGACAAAGAAAATCACCCGCGTCATGTTCCTAAGCTCTCGCTCATTTGTTTTGATTGGCTCGCTTCATTACTTTACACTTCCATGTCGGCGTTAGGCGCCAACTCACGTGTTGTCACCTTGGGACTGCTGATGAATCCACCGGTAGAGCGAACCCAGGCGCGACCGAGCAGGGAGCACCGGAGCGCGTGGTGTGGGCGTCGTTTGTAAAGCACCGTCGTCTCCCTGGTGGGGTGTCGCCCTCGTGGTGGTTGCCGCCGTGGTGGCCGCCGTGGTCTGCAGCCTGGCCTTTTCAGCTGCACAGGTGGTCGATCAACTTGTGATCCACCGAATGAAGGTAACGTGTGGGCCATCAGTTGTTCGGAGCCTTGCCTCGGAGGTGCCAGTACTTGCCCTTGAGCATAGTCTCGTCTTTGAGCTGCGTGCCCTGGAGTAGGGCCTCCCAGTTCTGCTTGCACGCTTGCGAGGTAGACCCCCGGCCCTTCGCCTGGGGCTTGGACCTGGGCTTGGGTCCCTGTTGCTTCTTGCCGGCCTTCGGTTGCGTCTTCTCCTTCTTCTTCTTCTTCTTCACCTCAATAGCCGGCTTGAGCCCAACGAGCCCGCCCAACGCGTTCTGGGTCTGCAGTGAGGAGGAGACGACAAGTGGTGTGACGTGGTGGGCGAGTTGGTGGGCGGAGGAGGCGTCAGCGGCGAACTGGACGGGTCAAACGGCCAGGCGATGGCCGGTGACGACAGGAGCAGCGGCTGCAGCGGCGTGGACGAGGCCGGAGGCGACGACGGGTTCAGTTGCGCGGGCCCAGGTGACCACAGCGTGGCCCCAGCGCTGGCGCTGGCGATCCCAAGGGCAGGAAGAGAGAAAGAGAGGTTCCGCATCCAGCGCTGCGTACACCGTGGTGGCCAGGAAGGCCAGCAGCAACACCAACCCTGCCTTCATGTTTGAGCGCGCTTTGGGTGAGTGAGCAAGTGAGTGCTTGAAGCACCTCCCCAGACTCGACCATGACCCGCCGTTCACCATGTACAGTGGGTAAATCAACAGCGGCGCCCATCCTACCCTCGGGAACCTCCGCATCTTCTACTTGGCAGCCCTCGCCTCCAAGGTGCCACTGGAGAAGGCGCCCATCATCATGTGGAATCAGGGCGGTCCAGGTTGCTCCTTGCTTGTGGGCATTGTTATCAATCACTCAAGACCCTTCTCAAGAAGCCAAGAAAATCGTTGATGATCATGGAGTGAGTTCTTTCATCGGGTTCTCTCCAGGTGTCGCTGGTGGTAGCCCTCATGTGGAGGATGAGTGTCTATAGGGTGGGAGCTGACCAATCATAAAAGTTCCTGTCAGGGTAACGAAAGACCAACCACAAGAGGGCCCAGCATTTTTCACTCAAAACAAACCAATTTCCTGGAACGGACAAGATCAAGTTTCCCTCAATAGAGTAACATGATCTGGCCTCTGCTTCTCTTCCTTTCGTTCATACTTCCTTCCAAACCAAATCGTTGCGATCGGACAAAAACAGGGTCGCGTAAGGATGCGAAGCACTCGTAGATGGAACCTCATGCAGAGCAACATGGTCTTTCCCCTTGGCCGTGCTGCTGCTGCTGGGTCAACTTCCACCCTCTTCGCCGGGCGCTTACAGAGACCCTTTATCTCCCACCATCACCACACCCGCAGCCCAAGTGCGTACTTACCCCCCCCCCTCTCCCTCTATGCTGGACTTGATTTGGTGTCACGACCCGGTTGGCCAATCATCAACGAGCTTGTGTTGTGTTCATCGTTCGCAGACGTTGTGCTGGGCGTTGACATGGGCACCACAAAGACCTGCGCCGCGGTCTTGGTGAACAAGGGCAAGCCACTATGGGTCGACAATGCCGATGTCGTTGCCAGGCTGCCCTCAATGGTGGCCTTCTCCCAGGACCCTGCCACAGGCGAGAGCACCGTGCTGGTCGGCGACCAGGCCAAGCGCCAGCGCGACTCCAACCCCCGGGGCACCATCTTCGGATTTATGCCGCTACTTGGTAGGACCCATTGGATAGCACCTCCCGAACACTGAGTGTGACTTGCCCCATGTCGCCCACCCACAGGAGGGCGCCACGATTCAGAGGAAGTGGCCAAGCTCAAGCAGCGTGTGCCCTATGACATTGTGAAGGCCCCCAACGGTTCCGGCGACGCCTGGGTTGCCATTGGTTCGGACTCCCTTGGCTTTTTTTCAAACGTGAACGTGACTGAGAGAGTTAGAGCATTAACTTTTATCTGCACCTACAGGTGGGCAGGCCCACTCCCCCGCTCAGATTGCAACATTCATCATTGAAAAGTGCAAGCAATCGGCTGAGAAACACATGGGGCACCCCATTACTGAGGCCATCTTCGCTGTCCCCACGTACGCTTCTCGCTTCAACAGCACAGCTTTCTCCATAGAGGAAGTGTATATACTTGTGGATGCATGAAGAACTCACCTTCCATTCTGGGTTTCACTGTGACAGTTACTTAAACATCGACGAAGCGACCACCACGCAAATCAAGGAGGCGGCCCGCGTTGCGGGTCTCAACGTATTTCGCTTTGTCCATGGACATGTGGCAGCCTTGATGGGCACCGCCTTCTGGCATATGAACTACGGAAAGCCGCAGCGCGTTGCCGTGTTCGAGCTGGGCGGCGGCGCATGCTCCGTTTCCTTCTTCGAGATGACTGATTTTGGCCTTTGCGAGCTCACCAGCAGCAGCAGCGACGCCTTCCTCGGCGGGGAGGACTTTGATGCGACCGTGCTCCAGTATCTGATGGACGAGCTCAAGAAGAGGAAGAACGAGGCCGTGGACCTCTCCCTCTTGGACGTAGCTGCCATCCGCCAGCTCAGAGAGGGCGCCGAGAGGGCCAAGAAGGCCCTTGACTCCGTGCCCACCACAGAGATCGACCTGCCAGCGGCTGTCACCGGCGACAAGCACTTGACCGCCCGCCTCACCAGGGACCACTTCAACCAGCTGACCAAACCTCTCGTTGACCGTACCGCCACGCTCTGCGAGTTGGCTCTCAAGGTGGGTCAAACCCTCGGAGCAGAGAGATTGAAGCTTGTGTTCACCCCCCCCCTCGCTCATGCAGGCAGCCGGTCCCAAGAAGGTGGACCAAGTGCTCCTGGTGGGCGGCATGACCCGAACTCCAGCTGTGGTGGAGAAGGTCAAGGAAGTGTTTGGTCTCAATCCCATGGAGGTGCCCAACCCTGATGAAGTTGGTATGTGTGTTTCCCTCCATTGCAGCATCTCCAATCTCAGGTCCTGCCTCTTCACATATTCACTTCTCCTGTAGCTGCAGTAGGCGTGGCCATCCAAGGAAATGTGCTCCAGTGCTAAGGAGCGACAGAAGCGTTTTTTTTTTGGCGACAAGAAAAAGAGAGCTCAAACTACATGGCAACAGGGGCCCCAGCTGGCACGGGACAGGTCGGAGTTGAGTTGGCGGATGTGCGCGACGTAGTCGCCGTCGGCCACGCGGCCGCGAAGCTCGTCGGGCACGTACTCAGGGAAGCCTCCACGGCCAAAGCACGACGGCGCGAGCCTGACGCGCACTTGGGGCCGCGTGGTGGTAGACGTGGACCTCGTTCACGGCGCCTCCGTAGGGAGGGCCTACCACAGGAGGATAGGCGTAGTGCTGCTGCGGCGCAGGGGAGTAGGCATGCTGCTGCTGGTGATGGTGGTGGTCGGCATGCTGGTGGTAGGCGTGATGGTGATGGTCCTGCATGTGGTGCGCGCTTTGGAACAAGCTGGCCCGAAGCCTTTGTTGTTATTTCTCCAGCTGTTTCTGGTCCGACTTCTTTATTATATCTTTTCTGGTACTCTCTTTGCTGCGGTGAGAAGGAGGCTGTACAGGTTTCGAGGCCAGAAGCGGCGAGGCCATCACACGCCGGCGAGGCCAGCTGGAGCAACGTCGTCATCGCCGACCTGCGAGTCAAGGAAGGCCACGACGTCCTCCATCCGCGGCCGCTTGTCGGCCACCCCGTGCCAGCACTTCTTCATCATCTTCCGGTACTCGGCCGTGCAGTCGCCCGGGATCTGCGGGCGCTTGCCCTCGAGCACGTCGAGCGACACGCCCATGAAGTTGCGCCCGGCGAACGGCTCGCGTCGCGTGAGCGCCTGCCACATGATGATGCCGAAGGAGAACACGTCGGCCCGCTCGTCGTACTTCTCGCCGCGGATGATCTCCGGCGCCGTCCAGCAGGGCGTGCCGCAGCGGGTCATGGTGGCGTTCTCCTCCTTGATGCGCGCGAACCCAAAGTCGGCCACCTTGACGTTCCAGTTCTCGTCGACGAGCAGGTTGGAGGGCTTGAGGTCGCGGTGCACGATCACCGGGTGAGGGAGTGGAGGTAGTTGATGCCCAGCGCGGCCGAGCGGAGCATGCGCAGCTTCTGCTTCCACGTGAGCTTGATGGCGTTGTTGGCCAGGATGTCCTTGAGCGAGCCCTGCTTCATGAACTCGGTCACGATGCACAGGTTGGGCTTCTTCACGCACGCGCCGATGAAGAGCACGATGTTGGGGTGGTGCAGCTCCGAGAGGAAGGCCATCTCGGCGCGGAACTCGAGCATGCGCCGCTCGTCGAGCTTCTGCTTGATGAACCGCTTGACCGCCACCTCTACGCCCTTCCACTTGCCGCGGTAGACACGCCGTACGAGCCCAGGCCCACCTGCTTGCCCATCTGGATCTCGTGGAAGTCGATGATCCACCTACATAGGTTGGCCGAGGTGAGGAACGTGTCCTCCTTGAACATCATCCCCTCGCCCACCGCCGTTTGCATGTCTTCGCCGCCGCTTGATCGTGTTGCAACCTCCTGGCTATCGCTGGCCGCGCCCGACGACGTAGTGGCCCCATCGCCGTCGTCGTTGGTTACTCCGCCGAAGAATCGGGCCTCGAGGCCCTCGGCCTTGAGCTCGTACAGCCGCGCGCCTGCGGAACACACGGCACGACACGATACGACACGCACCGACACACAATCAGCCATCAGAGCGACGACGAGCGCCTGGTGGTGATGACGGGTGTATACCGTTAGGCACGTCGGGCATCTCGAACTTACCCAACGACACCACCCGCGCGCCCAGGCTCAATGGAGCATCGGGGCCTGCTGAAGCCAGCAGCTTGTGGTGGGCGGCGTGGCTCATGACGATCTGGCCTCCGTGGGTCATGGCCGTGATGCGCGCGGCCGCGTTTACCACAGGCCCGATGTACTCCACGCGGCGCGTCATCGGATCACGCACCACCTTGGGTGTGCCCAGGTGCACGCCCATTCGCACTCGCAGCCCTTTGTACAGCACTCTGCGGGTTGCGACCACATGAATGAGGAAAGGTCTCCTGCAGGAGCGCAGAAGGCTAGCCGTACCGGTCATCAGTGTCGCCCCACTCTTCCGCTGCGCCCGGGTGGTCGAGCAGCGCCTCGGGCCACTCGACCTGCAGCAGGGCGCGCTGCACGTCGCAGCACCAGGCCAGCGCGTCGCTCGCCTGCTGGAAGGCCATGCAGAAGGAGCCCTCGCCGCTGTTCCGGTCCCGCAGGAACACCACCTCGTAGCCCTTGTGCCGCTTGAGTACGGCCCGCAGCGTCTCATTGTGCAGCAGCGTGGCGTCGCGCATGGCCGATGGGTTGAACTCCCACAGCGAGGCGGCCCTCGTGATATCGGTGAACACGATCGCCAACTCACCCTCCGGCGCTCGAACCGCACCGCCGGCCGCTTGCGCAGCTACGGCCGAGCCGTTCTTCGATCCGCTCGATGACCCAGAGCCGGCTGACGCAGAGCCGTTGGTTGACGGCAGCGTCCACGACGAGCCGTAAAGGCTGACCCGCTTAGCTTCGCGGTTCGAATTGCCGCCGCTGGAAGACGACGAGGTCCGAGAGGTGAAGGAGGTGCCGGCCGACGTGGAGTCGCCGTTCATGGACGAGAGGCGCGTCATGATCTCGAGGAAGGTGGGCCGGATGACCGGGTCGCTGTGCCAGCAGCTGGTGATCAATTGCTCAAATTCCTGCGGGCACGTGAGCACCTCCGGCATACGCGGCCGGATGTTGTCTCTGATCACCGCCACTGCCACCGCCGCCAGACTGTTGCGCCAGATAAAGGAGTCGATCAGGTGATGCGCGACATCGACAATGCAACTAGCAACAGAAAATTGGTAAAAACGAACCTCATGCCAAAGTAGGGCTGCTCGCGGGTGAGGAGCTCCCAGAGGATGATGCCGAAGCTGTACACATCGGCCAGGATGAGATCAACATCGGCCGACTCGTTGAGCACCTCCGGCGCCGTCCAGTGGACGCTTCCGGCGTCGTTGGCCTGTGCGCCGCCCTTCCGCGCGTCCTCGCGGAACTTGGTGAGGCCGAAATCCGACACCTTGACGTTCCTGATAAGAAAGAGCGGCCCCGCGGAGCGATTAGTACGAGCAGTGATGGGTTAGGACTGAACACATAAGCAACCACTCACTTACCACTTGTTGTCGAGCAGCAGATTGAGCGACTTCAAGTCTCGGTGCACGATTCCTATTGTGCATGAAAGGAAGGCCGCGAGGTAGTGAGTAGAGGTCATGGAAGTGCAAGTTCAAGTATTGCGAAATGCTTGAAAAGATCGAGGCATGGAGGCTAAGGCCATGGCGCGTACCGGAGGAGTGGAGGAAGTGCATGCCCTTGGAGGCCTGGTAGGCCATCTTGGCCTTGAGCGGGAAGGGTATATCCGGGATCAGCTCGTTATGCAGCAACTGCGCATGAGGCACCCCAAAAAAAATGTATATGGGTGAGATCAAGGTGACCAACCACAGCCGCAGACTTAAGCTCGCATAAAATGAAAGGAGAGGGAGGAGGCGCTAAATAAGACGAACCTCGAAGAGAGAGCCCAGCGACATGAACTCCATCACTACGAATGCGAGGGGAGATACAGATCAGCTTAAAAGCTTGTACAGGTGCACATGGATGTATGGAGCGTACCGATGCACATCTTGGGCGGCTTGGTAGACGCCGCCATGAAGAGCACCACGTTGGGATGCCTCAGCGAGGTCATCACCCGCACCTGTAAAGGTCCCTCGGTTAAGAATGCACATAAAATGAGAGAGCCCATTAGTGGGCGAGGGTGTGTGTGTACCTCATCCTGGAAGCTCTTCTCCATTTCTTTGGTGACCTTCTCTGCCGCCATCACCTTCACTGCAACCTCGGTTCCCTTCCACACGGCCTTGTGGACCGCGCCGTATCCGCCGGTGCCCAGCTGCTCGCCCATATCGAGCTCCGAGTACTCGATCTCCCAGTCGTCGGTCCGGTTTCTCGTGTACTTGACGAGGATCAACACGACCACGACGATGAGGCACGCCAGCACCAGCACCACGAACACCGCGCCCGGAATGCCCACCGCTGTGAGATCCCAGAAGATCGGACAATAAAACAGCACAGGTTAGCTACCGGTGGGGCGGTGGTGTTGTGGGGCCACACGGAGGAGAGGGCAAGAACCGAGGCCGATCGTGGCTGAGTCGCTGCTTGAGTCGGTCGACACGAAATCCTCGCAGTATTGCCCGGTCCTGCCGCTCGGGCATACGCACGCCTGATTGGCGCACGACCCGATATCCGAACACAGCTTGCCGTCGTTGATGCACGCGGCCACTGAGCTCACCGCCACCCCGTTGCACGTGAACGCTTTGAGCTGGTTGAGGAACAGGCTCTTCAGCACGGGCTCGGTCGATCCGATGATGTAGCCCTGCCTGTCAGCCGACAGCTTGGCTTTCGGGCTGGTCTGCGTGTAATAGAAGAAGTCGGCGAGGGCAGCCGCCTTGCTGCAGTCCTGCATGGTCCGGCTGCGGTAGATGAGCGCCGCAAACGCCGCCAGAGGCCAACTGGCACTTCCCTCGGCTAGCATGGAAAAATAAATTAATAACAGAGATAAATAACGTGTAAAGGAGAGAGCGCGGCGGGGAGAGTGGTACTTAGGATGACGCCGCCATAGGCGGGTGCTGTGGTGAAGGCCAGATAGTTGCGCAGCGCACTTGCATACGACGTCGAGTTCGCGTGCACCAGCACGCCCGCCTTGTTGAACATGTGTGCCGCGGCAAGTCCACGCGACTGTCATTGCACGCAAGGTGAGGGGATGCAGAGGCTTAAGTGGGGAAAGGAGGTCGCTGCAGCGGAATAGAATCCTTAAGCGCGAGGTGGGTGTCAGCGTACCAGCAAAACAGCGGAGCGAAGTGTGACGGCAAAGGCATCAGGAGTGCTGGCCAACGTCGACACCAGAGTGGAGTAGTTGCTGGCCGCTATCGTGGTGGCCAAAGCCTGCACCGGGAAACGCGCCACGTCTGTCACGCCCACCTGTGTATTGTGCGTGTGTGTCAGCAATGGAACACGCGATGGAAACACGGACAACACAGGTGTGAGAGTAAAAATAAATTTAAAAAAATACCTGTTCAGCAAAAGCGGGCACGGTGGCGTTGAGCAGGGTGGTGAAGCTCTCTGTGATGGACGAGCTCGTGGTCTGAACGATGACCTGGATCGGGCGGGTGGGCAGCGCCGCCACTGTGGCTGCAGAGTTGAGGGCCAAGATGCGCGAGTCGTTCCACATGGTGATCTCGCCCAGATAGATGTCCGCCAGCGTCTTGAAGTCCAGCACCAGATCCAACCCATCAAGTTCGGCCAAATTGTAATCTGTTTGTTTTGTGTCGTGTCGCCATTCTGATTAGAGCGGAAGGGAGCAAGCTATGGCCATCAGCAGGCCAGAAGGTGAGAGGGCCAGTACTCGGGACCATGCCAAACACGGCGGCAGGCAGGAGGGCAATGTCGGGGATGGCCGTGGTCCACTCCGCTTCGATGCCGTTGATCGTCGTGCCAAACTCCTCGTCGAAAGAGACCAGCTGGCTCTTGGCCTGCTGCGAGGTGGACTCGAAGTATTTGATCGTGACATCGCTGGTCGACTGGTCCGTGGTCCAGGCCGTAAAGATAGGTAACGGAGGCCCGGCGCCGATGAGGAAGGCTGTGTCGATCGCCGGTGAATTGTTGCACTGAATGCTGGCGAAGACGTCGAGGAGGTTTTGGCGCAGGCTCACGTCGATGGGCACGAGCCCGTTCTCGATCGCCAAGTTCGCTGCCCTGATTGTGACACACACATACACACACAACGTGATGTCAGTTAAGACAGGGCCATGTCACTGGAGCCTCAAAGAGAGAGGGACGTTATACTTGTCGTTGACCTGCGTCCAGGCGAGGAAGCGGATCAGCTCCTCGATGTTGTTGCAGTCGAGCGACATGGCGCTCCGGTTGAGCAAGATGAAGGTCATAAAGGCCAGCGGCCAGGAGTCGTTGCCCGGTGCATCGCTGATATCGACCGAAAGGTTGCCGGCGCTGTAGGCCGCAGAAAACTCGGCCATGGCGGCCTGCACCGAGTACTTGCTGGGCAGAGAGAGCTTGCCGGCCCTGTTGTACATCGCGACCCAGGGTAAGCCCGCCGATTCGCCATCGCTCTGAAGCGCGAAGGTCATGCTGTTGGGATTGGCCTGTGCATCAACGACACCAACGTTGTTCATTCATCAGCGCCGGCCAACACAACAACAACAACAACAACAGAAGAGACGAAGAGCACAGCAAGGGAGACGAACCAGAACCCAGGCCGTGCGGTTTTTCGATTCCCCGGCTTCGACAGCGCGCCCTGCGAGAGCGGGCGGCATGAGGTCGAACGAGTTGTTGGCCGCTGCCAGCGCGGTGCGGAACACGCTGCTGAAGCTCGACACGGCCACCTTGAACCCCTCCGCCAGCGAGAAGGCGTTGTTGATGTTGTAGGCGAGGCTAATGGGCGCGGCGGGCAGCTTGCTGGCGATGGTCGGGTTGAGGGTCTTGATGCGCGTGTCGTTCCACATGGTGATCTCGCCGGCCCAGATAAGGCCTACCGTCTCCCTGCTCAGCACCTGCGCACCACATCAATTAATAAAGAAAAACAAATCAACAAAGATTACAGATCAGCGCCAGAAGAGGAGGGGGTGTACGAGGTTGGGATCGGAGGAGGTGAGGCCATCGACGTTGTAGGCGAGGACCAAGGCCTGTCCAAACAGCGGGAATTGAACCAGATCACCGAACTCGACGAGGAGATTGGCTGCCAGAGCTCGGTCCGAACCCACAAAATCCTGGCGATCGGAGGACAATTAGACGAAGTTCAACCATTTCCTCCCGGGCGATTCTGCGCTCATCTACTCAGCTGCGTCCTCGTGTTGGCCCAAGTCTCCCGTGCACACAGCGCGTAAAATAATAATAATAGAATAGAATGGCATACAATAAAATAAAATAAAACCTAAAAAGAAAAAAGGGAACGCACCAACTTTTGTCGGCCGTAGGCAGCGAGAGCTTCCTCCATGCCGCCTCCTGTGTACGATATGCTGATATGATGGTGGATGGCGTATGTCCACGACACATCAGCAAATCAATCTCTGGGAAGTCGAAGGGAAAGGAGGGTAGTGCGCGCGCTCACCTGACGTCGTCCCGCACGTAGGAGTAGCGGTCGGCCCAGGCCGTCAGTATGGTCCGAGAGTTCGGCGTACCGTCCCCGAACAGGTTGGTGCTCATGGCCGCTTCATTGACGCGCACACACACAAGCAGAGATGAGCGATCAACTCCCGCACACGCCCTCTCCCAAAAGAAGGTAAGCTTAGGGTACCATCAACAATGGGCACTGGCTGCAGGAGGAGGCAGAGAAGGCCACAGACGGCCAGCACCAGGCGCAAGGCGAGCCCCATTGTCCACCTCTTGTAGGATAGCGCGGTGCGGGTGGTGCTCAGGTGCGCGGGTTGTAGCTTGTTTGTTCAACGGCCGCACGACCGGTGGGTTCGAGTACTCGTTGCACTGAGCCGAAGGGTTCGGCGGCGAAACGTGGGCCGTGGTTGCACCCGGCTGTATCCACACGGAGTGCAAGCTATTGAATCCGATCACCGAGACTCGGTGTTACTCAAAAGGACGCGATGCCATTCGCCCAAACGGCCAAAGCGCGAGGAGGTGCTCCGGGGAAATGGGCCAACGGTCCACAATTATTGGCCCGGTCATGTTTCGCTCCAACAGTTGATTGTTGTGCTCACCACCCGGACGATCGGGGAACGACGCCCAACCGGGGATCTAATTTAAGGCGGCTTCCGCCAGTAGCGCCATTGGCCACTGAATCGGATTTTTGTAGACTGATGGCGCAACACTGCGTCACAACGGGAAATGGAGAAGAAACTAGTTTTGTTCATCCTCGCTGAAGATCTAGATTGGTGTGTTGCGCGGTGTAAAGCAGGCTGTGATGCCATTTCTTAAGTCGCGATGGTAGGGGGGTCCTGTGGCCATGTACAAGTGAGATTCGGTATGTAGATTTGTCAATGTTTGATTGAAATTGAAGTACCTTGGCATGGGCTTTTTGATGGTGTGTGGTTGGTGGTGATGTCGCATATGGGCGAGGACGAGGTCGCGGTCACACAGGGAAGCGCAGATGGTGTACATGGAGCTGGCACCTTGGTGGAGGACGTGCACACGGCCAATGGTCCCTACACAGAGGTATGTGAGACCATGTGCGAGACAGTGGTGAAGTTTTCTGTACCAGTGGTGCAGGAAGGGCCAGTTGAGTCACAGGTGG